ACTCTCTGCTGACTACCTTAAGTGCAAGCTCTTTTCATTCTCTCTTGGCGACAAAGCTTCAAGATGGTTGAAGTCTCTGCCAGCTCACTCCATCACCACTTGGGATGAGTACAAGGCTGCATTCATCAACCACTTCTACACCAAGCAAAGATCAATTTCTGTAGGAACAAGATCTCCACTTTCGCCAAGCCAACAATGAATCTTTCTATGAGGCGCTAGATCGATTCAAGGAGTACATTAGGGACTGCCCTAATCATGGTTTCAATGAGGGAAACCTATGGAACATCTTCTATCGTGGCATAGACCACAAGTACAAGCTTTCATTGGATACAACAAGCAATGGAAACTTCATGACCAAGACTGTTGATGAAGCTAAGGTTCTTATTGAGAATCTTGCAGCTAGTGATTGTAACAACTGTCCTGATTATGACCGCTCAAGCCGCACCACTACTAGCTCCCCTGATTCTTTTCAAATGACTGAACTCAAGAACATGATGGCTCAAGTTCTTAAGGGACAGCTCAAGCATATCAATGCAATAGAAGGGATGAGTGATGCTAATGAAGATTCATCAAGAGAATGCATGGGAGATTTCTCTAATGATGCCAATGAAGAAGATGTGAACTACATTGGAAACTATGGGAACAAGGGATACAATCCAAGCTATCGCCCAAATCCCAACATGTCTTATAGAAACCCCAATGTGGAGAATCCTCAAGACCAAGTGTATCCTCCAAGGTATCCACAACAACAAAGACCTCCTTACCAATCTCAAGGAAGTCAATTTCAGCCAAGGCAAGGATATGAGCAGAGATCATCATATCCGCCCAAGGAGCCATATGCTTCTTCACCAAATCAAGCTCCTCCAAACCAACAAGGTGGGAGATTTGAAGGAATCCTCCAACAGATCATGGATGGCCAGAAGAGAAACACTAAAGAGATGTATGAGAAGATGGACACTTTGTTCAGCAATCTCAACACCAAGTATGATGCTGTTGCCACTCATGTGAAGAAACTAGAGACTCAAGTCACTCAAACTATGGAAGCTGTTAAGAGACAGGAAGCTGAATCCAAGAAGTCCTTTTGCAACTCAGCCGCCATAGAAGAAAGATTTGAAGACCAAGTTCCAGAATGGATGCTTTCAAAACCTACTGTTGATTGCATGATTTGGCCTGAAGAGAATTACCCAGAGAGAGAGTCCAATCGAGCTAGAAAGAGAAGACTCTTCCCAAAGATTATCCCCAAGACAGATAACTCAGGAAAGTTTGCTGTGCCTTGTATCATCAAAGGTAACATTCTTGAGCAATCTTTGTGTGACACAGGAGCCAATGTGAACATCATGTCTAAGAGGATAGCTGACAAGATAGGCCTCACCAAGATAGAGCCATCATCCATCTCCATCAACTATGCTGATTCATTCTCACAAACACCCTATGGCTTTGTGCCTAATGTGATGGTGCAGATTGGAAATTGCTCTATCCCTACTGATTTCCAGATTGTGGAAATGAGAGAGAGTAGCCATAGACCTCTCATATTTGGAACCCCTTTCCTGTCTACTGTGGGTGCCATATTTGATTTCCCCAATCAAAGAATCTCTTTCAACAAGGTGAACAAGGGTATGTTCTTCCCTATGTGTTCAACAAAGAACTCTTTTGTTGACATGGTCCAAGAGGAGAAAGCTACTTTGAAGCCACCCCAAGAAGGAGAAACTGAAGAAACAATCAAGGAAGATCCCATTCCTAAGCCCAAGCAGCTTGCCAAACAAGCAAGGAGTAAGACTAAGGCCCCTACACCAAAACCGCCCAAGGGATCAACCAAGATTGAAGATGAGGCCAAGCCAAGAAGGAAGGTTAGAAAACCTAGGTCTGGCCGCAACATGAAGCTTCTATTCCCAGAGGAGCTTATTGATGAGAATCTAGAAGGATTCAAGGAGAGAGTGACAAGAACTCTAAAGCTTTTTCCTAAGGCAGTAGTGCCAAGGGACATTCATGGAGAGATTGTCTATCCAGCTGTGAATCACCCACCAGATACTCATTGCAAGGAGAAAAGACTTGGAGGATCAAGGATGCCTCTTGTCTCCATCTTCTCCTGAGCGCCAAGCCTTACAGTCAAGCTAAAGACTTAAAACAAGCGCTGCATGGGAGGCAACCCATGAGGTACTTTTACTTTTCTTTCTTTAATTTTCTTAGTTTTTGTTTTGCTTTTGTGTTTTCTTTGTTTTAAGATAGGATAGAAGGAGAAAAAGGTGTGAAAACACAATCCGCGCCAAAACATTGGCCGCGGACGCGCAAAAGAAATTTTGGCCGAGCAATTCCATCTGGCCGACCGTCACGGTCGAGCCGGGAAGGAATAGCCGTGCTCGGCCGGATTTTATTGCGCGACAGAAAACGTTCGAGCGCCACGCGCGAACCGGGAAAGAAAGGCCGCGATCGGCCGAAATTTTCGTATCGGAACGGACCGACCGTGCCGGTCGATCCGGGAAACAAACGCTCGGCCTCGGCCGAAATTCTCTCGGCCAAAACGAATTTGGCCGACCAAATCGCTCGACCGCGACAAAATCCATCGGCCATCGGCCCAAAACTTTTCTAGGCCAAGGTAAGTCCCCTTTTCATTAAATTCAAACCGGTTTTAACCAATCTAAACCAACTTAAACCGGTTTTCAATCAAAATTCGAATTTGAAAAGGAAAATTGATAGGATTTAGATCTTATTTACTTCACCTTTCCCTTGAAAACCACAAGAACCTCTCTTTCTTCTCCAAAACCCTAAACTCCATTAGAGGAACTCTAAGAGTTTTGATTTCAAAACTTTTACTGTTCATAACTCTAAATTGGAAATTACTTGCTCTTGCAACCTTATTCACTTTTCAACACACAAGGTATGTCTTCTAACTCTAATCCTATGTTTATGCAAGATCGAAAATCTCAATAAGTTTCATGTTTGGTCTAAACTCTTGTCTAGACTTGAAATTAGCATCCTTATAGTCTTGTAATGAACTTGCTAGGTGGAACCTAGGTGGTTTAGAGTTAATTTGAAGTTTAATTTCACAATTGAATAGTTTTTCACAAAACTTATTGGGCATTCCAAACCCCTTATTCAAAGGTGAAATTGCTTGGGCATACTTCAATTCATTAGTTTATCTAGTGATTACTTGGATTAGAAACTCAATTTCTCTTGATTTGCTGAAAATTTTGATTTTAAGCACCATAATCTTGGGATGAACAGTAAAATCCGAAAATTAATTTTGAAAAAGTGAAATTTCTATTTTGTCTCTTTGATTCATGATTAAGCCTTGAGTTGTTCCTTTATTCCATATCATTATTGCAACTCAATTAGCTTATTCTTCTTTTGCATTAATCACAAACTCATATTTCTTCCCAAGAATTTGCTCTTGTAGGTACACCAATGGCAAAGACAAAAGGAAATGAGAGTATGAAGAAGAAGAAGAACCCATTCATGGAGCCACCAAAGAAGCAAATCAAGCTAGGGAGTAGTAGCTCCAATGCAAGAGCAGCAATACCAACTTCACCACATTCCATTGATGCAATCAAGAACATGTGGAGAGTCCAAGAGAGGAGAAGATGATTGGGCACTTGTAACCTTTGTTGGAGAACAAAATCAAGACCCAAGAAAGTGTAAGAAGGCAATGGAGAAGGTGAACATCGAGCCATGTGTGAAGATGGACACCCAAACCCTTGATCTTCTCAAGATAAGAGATGATGTCACATGGTACATAAGGAAGCTAGGCTTGAGCAAGCTCTTCAAGCTAGAATGTAGTGAGTACTCACAACTCACCAAGGAGTTCCTCTCTACAGTAGCTCTTGCCTTTCCCAACCACAATGGAGACCAACCAGCTGGTGAAGGACTCCTACTCTTCAAGATAGGCGATGCCAATGGGCGCATCTCCATCTCAGCTCTATGCCAACTCTTTGGACTTCCCAATGAGACAGCACATGACTTCAAGGAGAACTCAAAGAGGAAACAAGCTGCCTTTGCTGATTGGACACACTTTGCCAATGAACCATTCTTGCCTTCAAGGTCAAAGGTGTCTAGAATCACTCATCCAGCCATTCGCTATGTGCACCGCCTCATCTCCACCACTTTCCAATGCAAACAAGAAGCCAACAAGGTCACAACTGATGAGTTCTACATCCTCACCACACCATTCATCAAGCATGAGTACAAGGCCAACCTTGGACTTTTACTTGCCAAGACATTCATCAATGTGAGGAAGCTAGCTAAAGACTTGGAAGGCAACAAGAAGCTTTGTGTTCGTTTTGGGAGGCTTATCACGGCCATAGTACTGCATGTGGGGATTGACATTCCCAACTATGAGCCACTACCCAAGCCAACCCCTTTGGATCTCCATGCTCTTCAGCACATCCACTTCCTAAACCGTTGGACTAAAGACCCAACTCGGTTTTGCTATGAGTTTCCAATTGGTCCAGCCAACACTTCCCTTGTCTTGCTGCCACATGAGACATCCCAAGCCTACGCTCAGGAGTTGTCACTTTCCAGCCCAATGAGGAAGAGTTCTATGTTCCATCAAGTGAGAAACCATCATTCCCCATGCTCACCTATCGCACACTTCAGCATGCAGTCAAGACTCAACGCCGCTCCAAGAACGCCATGTTCTCACTACTGGCATGGCTGCGCACCAAGCTCTAGACCGTGTTAACAAGCTGGAGAAGATAGTGGAATGCCAATCTCGCTTCATCTCACGCCTAGTCCGCGTAGTTCGCCACATTGCACCGGAGAGACTCTTTCGCCCTTCTTCCACCGCTAGAGAGCCATATGAGCCTGACCTTGGTGAGTTCTCACTAGACTCAGAGCTTGGTTCAGAAGGCGATGACCCCATAGATGAGGAAGAGAGTTCTTCTCACTGCCACACATAGTCATCTCAAGTGGTACTTAGTGCAATGGACACTTACAAATCTCCATTTTCTATCCCTATCTTATTTTAATGAATTTTTCTTTATTTTTCTTTTACTTTGAATATTACCTCTCACCTTAATGTGATTTGCTTTCACCGGGACGGTGCAAGTTAAGTCTGGGGGGAGTTTTATTGTGTTACTAATGCATTTTTCTTTCTTTTCTTATGTTTTATTCACTTTGTTTCATGTTTTTCAAAAAGTTTTATTGAGTCAAAAACCAGTCCGGAAGTTATGAACTTGCTTTGAGAATTGAGAGTGTTATGCTAACAATCCATGACCCTAGAGCAGAAACCAGCTAAAGGCACAAGCCTAACAGAAGCTCTTACAGTGGATCGACATGCTAGCTCAGCAAAATTTCTAAGGTAACCAAGCAATCTAGAGTTAACCTCACACTTAATCAATCTTAATTACTCTTGTCAAGGGGGTTGGCATACATGTCGACAGTTCCTTGCTTGATTTTCAATAAGATTTGTCTAATCTTTAAAGAGTTCTCCTCTCTCTCCCATCCCAAATGGTAAGTAATGTATATGAGAAAAAGCTCAAAGAGCACAAGGAAACAAGTAAGCATGAGGAATGCATATGTCTGTACCTTCATGTCTTATGGAATACCTTAGTCAAACAAGGAACAAGCTAAAGACTTATCCTGTGGTTGAAAGAAGGGTCAATAG